TCCCCGCTCAGCAGGTCCCTGGGGCAGAGGAGCGGGGTGTGAGCACTCGCCCTCGGCACTCGCGGCCGCGCCTGGCTCCTGAAGGCTCGGAACCAGCCGGGGCCGCGTGCGGGCAGAGGCCACGGCGAGGCTCACGCGTGCCTGCGTTTATGCCACACGCGACCCACGTTTCACGCCTGAGGGGACCGTGCGGGAGCAAGCGGAGCCCTCCCGGCGACGTCCACTCTCACCATCTCGCCTCTGGGGCTCCGTCAGGCCGAGAGGCAGCGGGCCAGTCGCGGGGCGTCTGTCACGCGAGCGCCCCGCTTCCGGGCGCCATCCCTGCCTCACCTGGATTGCAAAGGGTTAACCTACGAGGTCTGCCGGGGACGCAGCTTCCCCCGCCGGCAGCGGTCCTCCCCCTCCCGACTGCTCTCGGGAATAATCCAGCTTCGCCCCCCACAAATTAAAGTTTCCATCTTGAGCTCTGTGCAGATTGTCTTGGGAACCTCAAGGGCGCTGTGGCGAGGGCCTGCGAGGCACGAACCTTTGCATGAGTCATCCTCGATGGGCTGCTTGAAAGCCGTGATGTCGCTGAAGGTGCAGAGAAATAAAACCACTTTGTCCTGTTCGTTTCGAATCGGAGCGATTTTCACAAAGAACCACACGGGTGTCCCTGCAGAAACAGCAAGAGGCTCATCAGGGACCCGCGTTCTCAAAGAGGGCAGGGGCGCGGGAGGAGACGGCCACGGCTCTGGGTTCACGTTGCCACGGGCTCGCTGCTTCAGGGCTGGGCTGTTGCGCCGGAAAGCTGCCGCCGTGAGGCGCCGCGGGCTTCCGCCCAGTGACGTGGAAGCGCGGCTCTCGTGGCCTCACGGAAAATCCCCGTCGATGCCACAGCATTAGCGAAGTGAGCACAGCGATGCTCCCCCAGAAAGGGGGCTCCCATGGGCAGGGCTGGGATTATGGGGTACTGAGGAAGCTGGGGGCAAGATTGCACCGCGCCACGTAACATGAGTAGCCACGTGGCGTATCATGCCACGCCGCCGTGCCACGTGGCCACACGCTCATCAGGCCACGTGGCCACACATGTGGCCGCGCAACACAGCACACCTCGTATCGTGCCACATGGCGTGCCACATAGCCACGCCGCGCCACATCGCCTGCTATGTGGCGTGCCACGTGGCCATGTAGCCACGTGGCCTCAGCACAAGCCCGCGCTTCCTGTCAGGAGGGCACCCCACCCCGGCCGGACAAGCCCGTCCGTCCCCCGGCCCTGAGCGCGGCACCCAGCCGCCCAGCGCACGCGTTCCCGCTCCTCGGACGGCCTCCGGCCCTCAGCCTGCACCAGCGGCGGCCGCACAGCTGGGACGATGCTTTCCGTCCTGCTTGGAAGCATCTTCAAGTAGAGACACGCGAGCAAACAGCCCCGGGGCCCTGTGATGGAGATAAACCCCGGCGCCCCCGGGCGCTGCATGGACCGGCAGGCAGGCAGGCAGCAGGAGGCCGACCTCTCCGGCGGGCCGCCCGGCTCAGCGACCAGCCTGGTGTACCAGCAGGCGCCGAATAAATCAAAGGCAAACGCCTCCCCTGAAGGCCTGGCAGGCCCTGTCCGCCTGCAGTCCAGCTCCGTCCTCTGCCCCCGCTCTTCGTCTCTAGTTTCCAGCTGCTCGTTTGCACACGACAGACACCCAGATTGTAACGTCACCCAGGAAAACGTGGTCTGCGAGGACAGCAGCCCGCAGGAACCCCGCCGCTTCCCCGGCCGAGAGGAGCGAGGCCTTGCACCAGCCCACCGCTCGGGGGGGCCTGGGCCCTGCCCCTCCCAGCCCCCCGGGCCTCGGGGACTTGCAGCTATTTTCAGTTAAGCCACAGAAAATCAAGACAGTGCAGCGCACGCCCACAGCGTGGAAGGCCCCGCAGCGGCTGCCGGCAGCCGAGACAGAAGGCAGGAGCGGGCGTGGTGGCTTGCTGCACGGAACCACACCATCACCGCTAAAAATATACGTGCAGGGCCCTCCTGCACATGTGGGCGCAGCCCTGCCAGCCGGCGGCAGCCGCCTCAGTGTGAGCTCGGCCCCCCGGCCTGGAGGGGACCCCAGGGCGCGGCAGACCCCTCCTGACCCGCCCGCTGCTCCCCTCAGCAGTGGGCTTCGTCCATCTGCCTGTTCTGCTCCCCGCTCTGGGGAGTCCTCTCGCCCTCGCTGCCCCTCTGGCCTGCACCCCAGCTCTGTATGCATCAATAAATAAATCTTTAAAAAAGAAAAAAGAAATACATCTTTAACAAAAAATGACTCCGCCCACCCCTGCAGTTCAACAGACTGAGCTACAACACCTACTTCTCACCCGCTGGGAAACAGGGAAAAACCTTCCACCTCCCCAACGTGAGAAACACAACAGGCAGGGGAACCCCTGGCCTTGGGGCGCGGCGCCGGCCCCAGGCACAGGCGGGGGCGCTGCGCCC